TTTGGTAAAGGTCCAGGGCAGGAAAGCAAAACAGAAGGTGCAGCCTCCATGTCCATGTCGATTAAGAGGTGGCAGGTTGCCCTACCACTTTAGTCACCCGTGGTTCTCCCCTCATAATAGCAATGATTGGCTGGAATTCTGCCAAAAACCTCGGCCACTGTGGTCAGCCCATAGCCCAGATCTGAGGGTCCGATCCATCCTCTGTTTGAAGTTGAGGGCAAGCCCATTTGCTGTGGCCATTCAGCAGAGGTCTCTTTCGGCATCAGTTTTTCTAGTGACTTGGTTTTCCACAAATATGGTGAGCTCCTTTTGATCTGGGGTCACCAGCGGATTTCTCCTGAGATGGCTGCTCTCTCATTATTGCAGCCAATAGTTTGGCCTTTCTCCTTTCTTTTTCTATTTGCTGTTCCTTTCTGGCCTGGTCTTGATTGTTGAAAACTGAGAAGGCTGTGCTCAATATCTGAGGTGAGGGGGTTTGTGGTTCCGTGTCTAATTTCTGTAATTTCCCCCAGATATATGAGGCAGAATGGCTAATATAATGGGTGTTCAGAACCATCTGCTCACCTATGGAATCAGTGTTCACGTCTGTCTATTTCTTTAGGGTTTTCACTAGTGTGGCCTGGTACAGAGCTGGGTTTTCATTCTCTTGTGTAACTTCCTTGACCCTGTTACAATTGGTGGGTTTGAAAACTCATTTTCTTTATCCTTATTAAGCAGGCTATCATGTGGCTTCTCTTTTCTAAGTGCTGATCTAATAACTAATAAAAGATTTCATTCAGGAATCACATCACTCCCTCTGGAATATTCATGGCCTTGATTCCGGGCCACTGTCTCATCTGCATAGGTTCAGGGAGCACTCACAATTCTATTATTTTCCTCAGGGGTGCACCAGGTGAAGAATATTTGGGTATCTATCTCCTCCTGTAAGCTTAAGTGACTAGTTCAGTTTTGTAAATTCATCAACAAACTTACTAGGGTTTTCAGAGAGCCTGCCAAACTTCTCCTTGCAAAGTCCTAGATCACTCATAGAGAAGAGGACATGGACTCTAAGAGTGCCTGCCTGCCCTGTTGGCACTTCATGGATGGGGGACAGATGTTCTGTAGGGAGCTGGCAAGCAACACCACTATGAGTACTGGCAGGGCTACTCACAAGAAAGCGAAGACTTGGAGGCGAAACTTAGGTGACTGATAAGCAGGAGGGGAAGTAGAGAACGCACTCAGAAATGGGAAGGCCTCCAAAGAGCTTCCTGAGAAATCCAAATCCACAGGGGCATCCCCCTCAGAGTCTGAGTCCTTTGGGGTCTGCGTTGCTATGACTCCTGCCTACACCTGGTGCCTGGGTGAGGGCACAAAGAGCAGGTCATCTAGAATGTGGAGTTAGGTCTTTTGCTTAGGCTTGATGACACACAGGTGACGTTCTTTCCCCAATCTGGGTTTTGGTACAAGGCCACAAAGGCTAGAACAGAGCATCTCACTCCACATTGCCTGCCTCTAAGAAAAGAGATCTGATGGAAGAATGGTGTTATAGTTTAAACTTCCATTAATTTTCCAAGTGTCTCATTCCTCCAGCTTACACTGAGGCCAGACTGTGTTTCAAAAGAAAATAATCTTTTTCTTCTTATGGCTGTCTAGTGACAGTGTTTCAGTGCTGTGATATACAACCTAGTGGAGTGTCCGCAGGAATGGATGAGCTGGCTCCCATGTCTAGGAAAGAAAAGGAGAACAAAAGGAGGCTCAATATACAAAGTCCCGGGCTAACTTCTTGCCTACAAGAGCCCCCTGAGTGCAACTGGCCCCTGTTTTAGAGAGGAGAGAGATGAAAGAAGGATAGCTTAAATCCTGGTGCATGGAGAATAAGAAGCAAGAGTTGTCTCAGCCATCCTCAGCGCTGACTTCTTGTCTGACCTGATGAGCTAATGTCTTTAGCCCTGGGTTCTGTCCTGGCATCTGCAGCCCAGAGAACTGAACAAATGAATTCCTGTTTTCACTAGAAGTAGACACACACAGCCCACGCATTCCCAGCTGCCCTAGAGGGTCTCGGCTGAGCACACACTAAGGATCTGTGGATTGTTACCTGCCAGGGATTGTTCCCTGTGTCACAAACCTAGATATTTTAGCCAATTCACAAGAGTAAACCCAACAAGATGAAACAGGGAAGGGACCTGCCCTGGAAAAAGGTTGGGAGGTCCACTTGAGACAAGAGCTGGTTGGGTTGAATTCCCAGACAGCTCTACTCACTTTGCACCAGAGTGTGGGAAGAATGTACTTCTCACGCCACAGTGAACTCTTAAGCTGCAATCTATTGGCAGTGTACAAAGTAGATGCCGAAGTAAGGGTCAAAATGGGGAATGAGATCAGGAGACGGTCTCGGAATGGTTTCCACTGTTCATTCCATTGGCAATGACGACAGTAAGAGCCCTCAGGGCAGCAGCCATCCGCCAGAGAAATGAAGTACAAAAGTTGCTGTGGGGTGGGAGAGACCATTAAAATTGCCGGGATGAAACAGTGGCCTTCATCTCAAAGCCATAAGTATGTTTCCAAGTTGATGGGAACTTGGTGGGGGAGATTTGAGACTCCAGTCTTGAGGAGCCAAGTGTCCAAGGTCAATTGAAGGGAAGGCATCTCGGCCAAAGAGGAGAGACAGGGAAAGTGGTATTGAGCGAGGAGATGATGAGCTTCTCAGAGCTCAGTGTTGTTGGAGACAGTGGTGAAGAAAGCAGTTCAGAGACCGTGTCTGATCCACATGGGTGGGATATATAATAGGTAAGTGAAAACCTGAGAACTGCATAGCAGCAGGATCTCCATGCGTGGGTGAACACACAGAGACCGCAACTGCCAGCGCAGCAGTCATGGCATGGGGGATAGAGGCACCGAAAAATGGCAGGAAAGTCAGGAGGCACAGTTGACAAAAGGTTAGGGAAGCCAGATTAGATGCGTTCAGAGAAAAGCCTCCCCTCCTCCTAAAACTTCCAGGTACTGCACGGCACACGGGGCAAGCCCTTGACCCTCTCACAAGTCTCCTGGGGGGAGAACGCCAAGACTCCAGTTCTACTCGGTATGGGCTAGAAGCCCCACTACCTCTGCTAGCCACCTGTCAAGATAAGTAAAACAGAATCTCGGACAGAGGGAGCAGTGAGTCTGAAGCCAAAAGGAGTTTAGCTGTAGATGCCCTGGGAGGACTGTGAGGAGACCCAGAGAGAGAAAGGAAGGGCTGGAGAACCCACTTTCCTGCAAGCCACACACCTCCCCACCCCAGACTCTTTTTTATGTAGAATGAAATGAGGCCAGCAGTAGTTGAAATGTGGTGAGCAAGCGGGAAGAGGAGTTGACAGACAACTTGACAGTGACAGAGGCAAGGCGCTCAAGTCTCAATAGGCGAGCACCCAAACTCACCAGAGGCTGGAGAAATCCCATTCCTCAAGTCTCAGTTGGAAACTAAGACTCCCCAGAAGCTGGAGGGCACCAGTGGGTAGAACTGGATACTAAGACTTGCTGAGGGAGGGCGGCTCAGTGCTCCTAGCAGCCTGGGCAAGGAGATGAGTCTCACCCTTCTCTCCACTGCTGACTCTGAGCACGTTCTTAGGCTCATCTCGCTGATCCCTCAGTAGGGCAGTACTATCTTACCCACCTTATGCTAGACACTGGACCAGTTCAACTTCTGCGTATTTTTGAGTTCTAAGTATTATGAGACTATGATTCTATAAACCCATATTTAACCATAATTATGCAACGATTTACATAAATCTGAGCTCATGTATCTTTAAATGTAGATCACATTAGTTTCCTACGCCTGCTATAACAAATCACTCCATAGTTAGTGGCTTAAAACAATACAAATGTATTATCTTCCAGTACTTTAGTTCAAGAGTCTGATGTGGGTCTCACTGGACTCAGGGGTTAACAAGGCTGTGTTCCTTCTGGAAGCTCCAGGAGATAATTCATTTCCTTGCATTGTCTGGCTCCTGGAAGTGGCCCATGTGCCTTGACTCATGGCCTCCTCCTTTAAAGCCAGCAAGGTTGCATCTCTCTATACCTTGCGTCTAAAGTCATATCTCCTCTGCCTACAGTCAGGAACGGTCCTCAGATTTTAAGGACATATGTGATTAGACTGGGCATGCTAGAAATCCAGAATAATCTCCCCTTCTCAAGGTCCTTAATGTAATCACACTAGCAAGTTCCAAATGTTAGGGGATAGGCATCTTTGGGGGAGGCATTATTCTGCCTAGTACACACTACTCTCTGATCCCCAAAGATTTATGTCTGTGCCACAAGCAAAGCATATTTACCCCAGTCCAAGGTCTCCCAATTCCCATCCCATTACAGCATCAATTCAAGGTCCAAAATCTGATTCAAATCTTATTATCCAAATCAGGTATGGGGAAGTTTTATGTATGAGCCTATGGGGACAAAATTCTCCCCACTTGATCCATGAAACAGGGAAATCAGTTGTCTATTTCCAATATACAATGATGGGAAGGCATAAGATAACAGTTACACACATCCCTGTTAAGAAATTTTTTAAAAAATTAAGAGAAAAAATGAATCATTATTCCCAACCAATTTGGAAATACAGCCAGGCAAACTGCATTAGATTTCAAAGACTTGAAATAATCCTTTGTGACTCGACACTCTGCCCTCTGAGTCATGAACTATATCACACTAGAGACCAGATGTTTTGAAAATGACTCTCAACATAATCCCACACCAACCCTGAAAGCTCAACTCTTTTATATTTATTTACAGATGAGGAAACTCAGGCTTAGAAGAGGTAAATAACAGGGCTTCAAATCATCACAGATTGATGGCAGGTCCAAGCCCAGATGTGTCCATCTTCAAAGCTCATCCTCTTCCCCTCCATAAAACTACAGGGACAAGATCAACTGTGTGCATCCACAGGGCATGAACAAGAACCACACTATGAAATGTATGATCCCAAAGTGTCGCCCTTATGTCACAATGTGGTTTTCCTATACCATGACCAATGGTCTCTTCTTATCCAGGTACGGGAGGTGACAAGACAAGTTATTCAAGTTTCAAATGAGGCTGTTACAGAAGATGACCAGTATTCTGATCTCCTGATGGTGTGGGGACAATATATTGACCACGACATTGCATTCACACCTCAGAGCACCAGCAAAGCTGCGTTTTCAGGAGGAGTTGATTGCCAGATGACTTGTGAGAACCAAAACCCATGTTTTCCCATACAGGTAGTTTGATGGGGCTTTTTTTGATGTTTTTATTTTTTATTATGAAATTAAGTGCCATTTAAAAAGTCAAATAGAAAAGTATAAAATGAATCGCGAAAGTCTGTTTCTCCTGTCCTATTTCCAGGGGAGTAACAAGTGTTGTATATTTCCTGCGCACCAACCAGAAATTATCTGGACATGTGTGTATGTAAATATGTGTGTGTGCAAATCTGTTGTGCCATACTATGTGCATGTTCTGTGCCCAGTAAGAGTCACTTGGTAATATTCTTATACATCTCTACCTATCACTAAACAGAAAAAAACTCAATTGTTTTATGATTTCTTAATATTCCATTGTGTCTTACTGTAATTTATTTAACCAATTCCCTTATTAGTGAGTATTTAAGTTGCTTTTAACTTTGTTGTTGTTTTGCTGTTAGAAATAATGAAGCAAAGAACATATCTGGACCTAAATCTTTGTGCACATGTGCATACCTAATCAATCTAGGGGTGAAATTGCCAGATCACAGAGAAGCTGCAAGTGGAATTTTGATACATACTGCAGAGTTGCTCTCCGTTAATATTTTACTAATTTTCACTCTTACCAGCAAAGAAAGAAGACTTTTAGTTACTTCTCTTTAGAAAATAGCTTTGAAGCTGGCAAAGGTCATTTTCTTTTTCTTTCTTTCTTTCTTTTTTTTTCAGTTGGAGTCTCACTCTGTAGCCCAGGCTGGAGTGCTGTGGCACACTCACAGCCGCCGCAGTCTCGACCCCAGACTCGGGCAATCCTTCCACCTAAGCCTTCCAAGTAGCTGGAACTTCAGGTGTGTGCCACCACGCCTGGCTAATTTTTTGATTTATTGTAGAGACAAGGTCTAGCCAAGTTGTCCAGGCTGGTCTCAAACCCCTGGGCTGAGGCAATCCTCTTGCCTTTGCCTCCCAAAGTGCTGGGATTATAGACATGAGCCACCACACCAGGGCGGCTATTTTCTACTTAAGAACACAGATTGTTTAGAGGCCATGTCCTCAAAACGTTCATTCAGCAAAGTCACTGGGTTGTTATTCTGTCCTTGCTGTGCGGCACGCTGGGCAGGCAGAAAAGGAAGACAGGCCGTACCCTGGAAGTGCTTCATCTGGTGTCAAGTAGGTATGTGAACCAGCAGTGACAACACTCTGGGCATCTTCAAATGAGGTCCCATTGCTTAGTAAGCTTGAAGCAAGTTTGGACTCCAGTCCCAAAGAAAAATAGAAAATGATGCTATCAATTTCCCATATCTGTGTTTGCTCAGTATTCCCAAGGCGAATGTTTCCAGCAGCTACACGAGACTGTATGGGTATATATATAAAATGTTTTGAGTATCTGACCACTGACTCAGCCCAGGGAGCTGTGATAACATTGGGGCATCCTGGTTCTCAGGACATGCTCTCACTATTCCTTGTTCTTCCTGGTCTCAGCTTAGTCAGGATGCCTCAGGACCAATTGTGCCCTGCTGCGCAACGCAGAAAATAATGTGGTTGTGAATGTATTTTTTAAAATAAAGGTTATATGAACCTTCTTGATAAACACATGAATGTGTTCATCTCCATGTGTATGACAAGAAATGCAATTAGTGAATTATGAATTATGGTCATGTTTTAACTTGAATATCTACTCCCAAATTGCCTACAGCAATGGGATCATAAATTATATTTTCTAATTGATTGTTTCTCACAACCATTAATAGTATTTAATTCCTATCATTTTCCAATATGATGAGGAAATAGAGTATCTTGAATTTTACATTACTGGTGTTAAAGCCTCTACTAATATATATTTTGCAGACCTAAAGAAAGAAACCGAAGCACAAAATATAATTTTTAAAGATTTTACTTGAGCTAAAATGAGGACAGCTGCCTGAAATACTTGAATCCGAGTAACCTCAGATGTCTGCTCTGTTTGGCCTTTGTTACAAGCAGGTTTTTACGGGCAAAAAGGAGACAAAGAGTGGGCTGATATAAATTCCCAGTGGTTTGGTTTGCAGGAATAACATTGATTAGTGATTGGCTATATATTGCATGGGTTGTGCGTCCAGCATTCAGCATTGTTAGGTTGATTGACAGCACCTGGGGCAATAGCAGATTTAAGAGAGAATTACTTAGCCCAAGGGGGCAAGTGAGTCATGACTGCTGAGACCTAGAGAAGGCTCACTTTCTCAGATAAGAGTTTCTTTCTTTCTTTTTTATTACTTTCACTACTAATTCCATTAGGTTGTTTTATTGTTTGAATCAAGAATATATATATTCTTGTAGATCATAGACCTCAATCCTTCATTTTACATGATTGCTTATCTTTTTTATGTTGTTTGTGGTATCATTATTTATAAAAATAAGTTTTATATTTGGGTATATTTTAATTAATCATTTTTTCTCTATGGTCTATAAATTATTATCTTATTGAACAGATTTTTCTCACTTGAAGGTTTTAAATATATTTTTCTATTATTTAAAAAATGTTAAAGATTGGGGTTTGACATAGTTTTACTTATTAGGAACTGTGTGAGGCAGGGATCTAACTTTATTTTTAAAGTTGATGGTTATTTTAAAGTATTCCAGCTTTCCACCTGATTTGAAATGCTATCTTTATCATTGCTAAACTGTCATTATCCTTAATCTTTGCAGGCTTTCACTAATATATATGTCCAATTACTGTAGCCTTAGATTATGCATTGATCCTCAACAGGGCAGGGGCCCATTGTTCTGTTTTTACATAATTATCTTCCATACAAATTTTAAAATTAGTATGTCAATCTCTGTGAACAATTTTTTTGAGACTTTAAATTGGATTACTTTAGTTTTTATGCATGAATTGAGATTTTTGTTTGTGTCTTTCAAAATTAAAAGTAAGCCTTACTATTCAATAAGTGAATATTTCAATTTATCAAGTCTTTTGTGTCCTTCTCTAAAGTTTTATAATTTTGTCTGTTAATGTCTTGCACAAATTTGATAGATTTCGATGGATTTTACTGCTGTAGTGAATAAAATCCTGCTCAATTATATATAATATATATTTATTTGATTTGATTTCTTTTTGAGATGATGTCTCACCATGTTGCCCATGCTGGTCTTGAAGTCTTGGGTTCAGGTGATCCTCCCATCTCAGCCTCACCAGTAGCTGGAACTACAAGTGTGTGCCACTATGCCCAGCCATACTTTTAAACTGGTCATTCCTCAAATATAGGGAGATATTGATTATTCTCAATGGTAGTTTTATATTTGATCAGCTTACCAAGATCTCTTATTAATCTAAGAGTTAACCTTGACACACCTACATTTTATATATAATAAATATATTGGATGTCTTTGCTACCAATTAGACTTTCTCCCTTCTTTCCAGTATTTAAACTTTTCATTGCACACACACACACAGATATATACATACTTATATATTATATATATAAAATACTACTTTAGCTGGTAAAGTTTTAAACAATCATGGTTATAGCAGAATTTTGGTTCTGTTCCTTATTATAATAGACATGGCTCTAGTTTTTTTCCCCTTAGATATTGTCTACCGTGGATTTCTGATAGATAGCTTCAATTGAATAAAAAATTATCTTTTATTTGTAATTTCCAAAGAATTTTTGTAAAACATGTGGATGATGGCCTTGCTCAATGTCTTCCCAGCATCTGCTAAGGAGACACCAAGATTTCTACTTTGTTCCATTATTGTAGCCAGTTATAGTAGTTATTTTTCAATGCAATGTCATCTTTGCATTCTTGTGCTAGGCCTGCTTGCTGAGGATGTGGGTTTTAATTTGTTCTTGGATTCAAGTTGCCAATTTTTTATTTGGGACTTTTAAAACTCTCTTCATAAGTGGAATTACCCAGCAGGGCTCTCTTCTTGTGCTCACTTCCCTATCTGAGGTGTTACAGATATGACGGCATCTGACAACCAGCAGGATCGCACCCCCGCTTTCTTTCTATGCTTGAATTTAGGTTGTTTAAAATCAAATGATCTGTTTCTTGAAGAACTGGCAGAACTTGTGACTGTGTTTGATGCTTGGCCCTGGTAACTTCTGGAAGACGGACCTTGGGACATGGGTTCAGTGCGGTTGTCATTGGCCCCTCAGGCCTGTCTTCTTTGAGTCCTATTTCTATTACCATCATATTATTCCTTTCTGTCTATGCTTCTTGCCTACTTACAGTAAAAGCTAGTTGAGTGAGTTTCACTGTATCTTGCTTTTTGGCAAATGTAGTTAATAAAGGTGAGGTCATTTTCCTATGGACTCGACTTTGGCCACATAACACAAATGTTGCTATTTGGTCCTTAGATTGATGTTGGTTCTAAATAGGTTTAAATTCACATAAGAGTTTCTTACATTCAAATGTAAGTATCATCTCACATGGATGGAAATGCTTACACTACACAGGACTCCTCTTTCCACATCTCTCTACCCGCTTCGTTCTTCCTCATCGCTTGACTTTGCTCTCCCCTTTCCGTCCGCTTCCCATATTCTTCAATCACACTTCCTCCTGCTCCCTACATAGACAAACCAACTCAAAAAGTTTTATTTTTAAAGTGGGACGGGGCAAGGGAGTGTGATAAATGAAGCATGAGTAGTTAAGAAATTGGTGGAAACCGGACGGTGGGCTCAAAGAGATTCACTGAACAACGATTTGTAGATCCTGTGTGCTCCTCCTTATAATCCAAATGCTCAAACAGCTACATCTAGAGATACTAAGTGCTTTCTTTAGGATGTTGTTAACAGACTCAGACTTAACACTAAATATGCTGTCTGCATCTTGAATTTTCCACTCAGTTCATGCCTCCTGGAAGTCCTCCCGGTCTACTTGAGCTCTGGGTTCTTACTCGTGGCTGGTGGTATATCATGTTCTGAATTGTAACCACAGGTCTGTGCCTCTGGGTCACAGTGTTATTCCAGTTGACACCACCAGAAGAAATCACCAACTTGAAAGGCAGAGTTTTAATGCTGCTATATTTACTTTGCTTTCTAAAAATCCTGTGACACTTCACAGCAATGACTGAGAGGACCCTTTCCCCACATCCACACTAGCAAGAGTCTTAAATATTTTTTCTTAATTTTGCTCTCACCGTGTTGGTTATAAAGCGATATCTTATTGTTACATTATCTGCTGTTCCTTATTGTTACATTATCTGCTGTTTAGAGAACTTTAAACTTTTTCTTTAATTTTTGGCAATTTGTATTTGTTCTGTGAATTATCTATTCATATCCTTTGGGCATTTTCTTATTATTTGATTGTTCTTGTTGATTTAATTGATTTTAATTTTTGTACACTATAGATAAGAATTCTTTGTCTCTCACTTTGTTTTTTATAAATATTTTTCTCCAGTTCCATCAATATAGTAACTTTCATCATGAAGCATTTTCAACTTTTATTAGGTCAGGTCTACTTAGGTTTCGACTCAGTTCTAGTCCAGAAATCTCCTTTGCTCTCAAGTTGTAAAAGTGATCTCCTCCATACTATTCACTATGAATTTTCACTCATCTTGTATGGCTTAAAATGAGAATGTATTTTTATTATTATCCAGATGGAAAGCCAGCTGGTTCAGCCTTCCCATCTCTCCGTGAGTCTAAATAACATTTTGTCACAGAATAACTGGGATCTAGTTCTGGGTTCTCCAACTTCTTTCATTGATGGATACATCTATTTCTATTAACAGATGACTTTATAGTATATTCTACTGTCTACAAGTCAGTACCTCTATCGCTATTCTTTCCCCTAGTTTATTGTTAAATAAATACATAATAGAATTTATTTCTTCATATAAACTGTAAGACTAATTTATTCATTTCAAAAAGTTAAGTACAATTATGATTCTAAGTGAAATTTTATTTAATTTGCACAATTCATTTGGAGAGAAACGATCTTTTGTCCGTTTTTTTGTGTTTTTAATTATATTTTATGACTTACTTCTGGCAGAGCATATGAGTCATTTTGCTTAAACTTACACACATGATTTTGAGACTTTTTTGTTATTAAGAAAGACATTTTTTTTTTCCATTACCATCCTGGATATTTTGCTAAAAAAAAAAAAAGATTTTTTTTTGAAACTAATTTTTGTACTTTTCCGTAGATTGAAGATTTTTTTGGACATTTTATTAATTTTCCAAAGTTTTCAGATATTCTAGGCATCTAATACATCATGAAGTAAAAGGACAGTTTTATTGTGTTTGTAAATCTTATTTTCTCATCTAGTAGTTTTGCTGGCTCCTATTTTATTTTCTGGACTTTGGTCTAACAATTATTAAAAGTTCTGAGATAATATTAAGTAATAACAGTGATAGTGTGTGTTTCTGCCTATTTTTTAATCTTAAATTCAATGGTTTCATTATTTCACTGTTGAAGATAATATTTGATATTGATTCTACATTATATTTAATCAATTTTACTCTATTCTGTTTTACTTCTATTTAACCAGGAATGGTAAATAATAGTAAATTTTATCTCTGCACTTTAAGTATCTCTTGATATTAATTTTTATTCTTTAGTTTGTTGATATTCTGGATAATATAAACCTATTCTTTTTTAACTTTAAAATTTTTTATTTAAAATTGAGGGGTACAATTCAAGGTTAGGTATCCAAATACTCATTGTGAAGGTACCCTTGTTGATGACGTGTGCTCCCCCTTCCCCAGGAAGATTTCAACTACTGTCAATCCCACCTACCCACCCCCACACAGTTTCCCACTAGTGTCAATCCTTTTCTTATAGTATTATGGTAGTTGTTCAAGACCCACTTATGAGTGAGAACATGTGATACTCGGTTCTTTGTTTCTGTGAAAGATCACTCAGTATTATAGACTCTAGTTCCATCCAAGTTGCTGGAAGTTCATGATTTTGTTCTTTATGGCTGTGTAATATTCCAATGTGTATATGTACCACATTTTTTTTACCCAGTCCTCTTTGGATGGGCAGCATGGTTGGTTCCAGGTTCTTGCTAGTGTGAACAATGCTGTGATAAACATACGTGTGCAGGTATCTTTTTTATAGAGTGATTTGAGTTCTTCCTGGTATATTCCCAGTAGGGGGATTGTGGGGTCATATGGAAGGTCGATTTTTAGAACTTTTAGGAATCACCACACTGTTTTTCACAGAGGCTGTACTAGTTTGCACTCCCACCAACAGTATAGAAGTGTTCCCTTTTCGCCACATCCTCTCCAGCAGCTGTTATTTTTTGAGTTACTGATGATGGCCATTCTGACTGGTGGTATCTCAGTGTGGTTATAAACCTATTCTTTAACAGTGAACCATTCTGGGAATAAGCCCTATTTGACTATAGTGTGTTTCTCTTTTGAGTGACTGCCCTATTCAATTTTTATTGTTTTATTTAGAAGGGGTATTGATCTGTATGTTTTGTCCTTGTCCTATTTTCATCAGAGGCTAGTATTAAAGTTTTGCTGACTCTGTAAAATCAACTGGGGCATTTTCCATCCTTTCTGTGGATGAAATAGTTTAAGCAGTACTGGAATCGCCTGTCCTTGAGGGTTTGACAGAAGTCAGCTGCAGATGCCATCTGATCCCCTGAGCCTCCATCCCTGTTGAATTTCTCATCGCTTGTCAATCTCTTCTGTGGCAATTGTCGGCTTGAGTTTTTCATTTCTTCTTGGAACAGTCTGAGTTACTTCTGTTTTGGAGAATAGAGCTGTCCATTTGCTCTTCATTTTCGAATATGTTGTCGTGAAATTGCATCTAATAATCACCTAGAGTTCTCTTCATTTTGCCTGACTTCTGACTCCTTTCTCATTCCAAATTCTGTCTCATTCTGTGACTTTGTTTCCTCTATTGCACCTGTGAAGTGTGGATTTACATTTCCTTTCTATCTGAGTTGTTTTACTGTTTAATTAATTTTAACTCTTTTTAGCTGATAAGATTTTAGGCTCCTGGCTGTGGTATCCCAATGACCCTTGCATCCCAAACCCTTTCTACTCTGACCTCCAGACCCAGCCTGGCAGTTCTTCCTGAGGGTCCTCATTGGGAAAGTTTTCTTAGTGCAATCACCAGTCACTGGAACCTGTTCCCTGCTCTGAAGGTGGAGCTGGGCAGTCACCGCCCTCCCCAGCAGGCCTCTTGCTGCAGGGCTGCACAGGTGTCAGGTGCCTTCCCAGCCTGTGGGGAGCTGAGGGCATCTGCTTTGCTTTTCACCACAGGGACAGATTCCCTCTGACACATTCTTTTTGCTGTACCAAACTGACTGAGCCCATCAAGAGCTCTGCCTCACTTGCCTACAGAGCACAGCAGATAGCTTTGACCCTGCCAGGCCATGTCCGCCAACTGGGCCCAGAGCCATCTGCTCTTTCTTATGCCTCACAGTGCCTGGCCCTGTCTGTGCTTTGCCCATAGAGGAGTTGTGTCCTTGTTTTTACTCTTGGCAATAACAGAGCCTTACGGGAAGACAGTGAGTTTTAGTGAGAGTCCTTCTCTTGGGGTCTGTCCAACTGTGATCTTGCGGCTTTGGGCAGGCTGTTTAATCTCCTACACCTCAGACTGCCTAATGAAAATGCCAACTCTGGCGTTGAGGGAAGGTTAGGCACCAGCCTCAGTGCAGGCCCTGGCCCTGCAGCACATCCACAGGAAGAAATAGCTGCCCTTGCATGGGGACAGGCTCTGCAGTTCACAGAGCTCATTCACATCCAGACAGGTCTGACACTTTGCAAGAAGCCTATCTGCATGGCACAACTTGGTTTAGATCTCTGTGCTACAGATGAGGAGACCGAGCTGGTTAAGGCCAGAGCTAGAACCAAATCCAGGTTTCTCCCACTCCCACCCTGTGGCCTTTCACTAAGCGGCGATGCCCCAAAACTGCAGATCTCTTTGCCCACTGGGCTCTTAAAAGAGTGCCTATCGTTGGGGAAGAGATGCCAGCTCCTCACAGAGTCAGAAAATAAACCAGGCATATGGATTCCATGAACGGCCTGGATGGGCCTGCGCAAGTTCTGTTAGTTCAAGACGATCTAAATTACTGGAGACGCTGCCTCCAAGGAGAGGACTCCAGCCTCTGAGTTCAGCCTCTGCCAGGCAAGAGGCCGCTTGGTGAGGAGTCAAGGAGGAGGAGAGGGCTGGCTGGACTGACTGCTGCAGAGAGAGGGCTGGGCAGACAGAGTAACACCTCAGGGCAGGCTCATCCTAGCCTAGAGCTTCTGCTGTCTTTCAGTCAGGGGTCCCCAACCCCAGGGGCTGCAGACCAGAGCCGGTCCGTGGCCTGCTGGGAGCCGGGGCCCGCAGAAGGCATCAGATCCTGGTGGGAACCTAATGCTTGACCAGACCAGTCCCTGATGCCACACAGGTTGGGCCCGCGGCTTTGACTGGCCTCCCCGAGAGCCCTGGGTGACTTCGACTCTCCCTTCACCGGCAGCTCCCAGCGAAGGCCGCGTGGGAGGCAGACGCCGCCTGTTTGCCGTTTTACCGCTCACCTGCGGCCTGCGGCACCGGGGACCAGAGCGCGAACTCCGGCAACCTGTCCAAGGCAACGCCGCGACAGCAGATGAACGGGCTGACCTCCTTCCTCGACGCGTCCACCGTGTATGGCAGCAGCCCCGCCTCGGAGAAGCAGCTGCGCAACTGGACCAGCACCGAGGGGCTCCTGCTCGTCAACGCGCGGCACCGGGACGCCGGCCGCGCCTACCTGCCCTTCGCGCCGCCGCCCGCGCCCGCGGCCTGCGCGCCCGAGCCTGGGGCCCACGGGGCCGCCCGCAGCCCCTGCTTTCTGGCCGGGGACGGCCGCGCCAGCGAGGTCCCCTCCCTGGCCGCGGTGCACACGCTGTGGCTGCGCGAGCACAACCGATTGGCCGCGGCGCTCAAGGCCCTCAATGCGCACTGGAGTGCGGACACAGCGTACCAGGAGGCGCGCAAAGTCGTGGGCGCCCTGCACCAGGTGCGCGCAGAGCCATTCCGGGCGCCCCGAGCGGGCGCGGGCAGATCCGTGGGCGCCCTGTGTGTCTGCGCGGAGTCCCGGCGGGTGGCTTGGAAAAGCGGGCTCGGAATCGTGGGCGCCCTGCACGGGGTGCGCGACCGGTCATCGCAGGTGTCTCAAATGGCTGCGTGCCAGGTGCCCGGTATGGGGACCGACGAGGTCATTGTAGGCGCCCTGTAACTCCGGGGTGGGGTGAGAGCAACTCTAGGTCCCGAGGACCCGCCCAGGCTCTTCTGTCCCGCGGCTCACCGTCTCCGGGGCTGGGCCGTGATCATCCCGGGAAGACACGACAGTACCCACCGTTGCTCAGCGGGACCAGCAGGCTCAGTCACCGGTCCCTAGAGCCAGTCCAAGAGCCTCACTGCGGTTTACTCATTTAGCAGTTCTCACAGCAACCCTCTGAGCGGTGGGAAAGTAGTGGTTCTGATGCCTTGTTATTTCAAAGACAACGGAGAAAAGAATAATTTGATTATCACTCTGAGGGAGATTTCTGAATTAGCAAGTTAAACTAAAAGTCGATTTGAGATCTAGCTTCGTTTTTGTGATTAAGTATGACCTCAGAGAATCTTGAAGGAGGATCAAGTTGGCCTTTTATTAATCGTGTGATGTTGGAGGAAAAAATGTCCTTCCGTCTGTAAGTGCAGTTACTGACATGGCTGGTCTCATGGGGTTGTGATGAAGTGGACCAGTGGACCACGATACTTTAGTGGCTACCCTGATGGGTATGTCTGTTGCTCCAGGCCATGGAGTGGGCTCCCGACACTATCCCTTAAGATTTCTCATCGACTCTGAGGGGAAGACACCGTTAATCCTGTCCTAAGGAGGGAGCGGAGTCTTGGTCACGCTTGCACAGGGACTGTGTGGTGGAACAAGCTTCCCTTGTGCACTATGTGCCACCTGCCACCTTCTGGCTTGTGTTGCACTGGAGTCCAGGCACTCAGAGGGTCCTGGAAGCTCTCCTGCGTGGGCATGAGAGGTTCAGTGGCATGGGGGACTGGAGCTTCTTTGAGGACAGGCTGGGCAGCAACTTATTGTCCAAGCACCACAGACGTGTTTGCTATCTTAACACCTGGATCTGCACAGAAGGTGAGCGTGTGTGTATGCATGTGCATTCGTGTGGGTATATATAGGGTGGCCGAGTACGCTTGTGTGTGGGATGGGGGGGGAATGAAAGCAGGAACTGGATACATGAAGAGTCTAAAATCGAGGCTTCGGTGAAACGCTGGAGTTTAGTATAAGCAAGATGCATCATGCATAGCTATGAATAACAGACAAGAAGATTTAAATTACAAAATGATAGCCCTATAGGAATTTGTGAGAGAGAATTGAAGCAATTTTTGATGATGCCAGTATAGCGTGGCCAGGAATCTTGTCACCATTGAAGTAAAAATCATCAGTGGCTCACGTGTCTCTTGCGCAGCCACTCAGCTATTATCTTCTTCCCTGTGCAAAGTGAGCTGCACAGTCAAGAGACAAGCAATATGGAAGCGAGGGTCCGTGCCATGACGAGCCCCTACGTCCCTCTGCACACCATCCTGGAGAAGTAGTTCCAGGAGGTCATCTTCTTCTGCCCTGATGATCACCCTGAGATGTTGTGTACGATGGTTTGTTTTATGTGTTGTCAGTGACCCCTTTCTGACTGTGTGCTCCACCAGGAGAGGGATCTTTGTCTGTTTGTCAAATCCTTTTCCCCCTGTACCTACAATTGGCATGTAGCAGGTGCCTTATAAATAGACGTTGAATTGGTGAGTGAAGTACGACTCCCAAGAATAATTCTAGAAGTCCTGCTCCACTGTCTCCTTCAGGGCAGGGTTTGGTTTAAACTTTCTTGAAGTGAGAAAGAATTTTGGCCAGCCCCGGGGGCACCTGAGAAGAGCCACTACCTTCTAAATCTATGACTACTCTTCACATAGTAAGAGAAAGGCCTCCGTATCATGCTGCTACCCAGCCCCCAACCCTGCCTTCCCTCTCAGCAGAGCTCTGGGATTGCCAGTGTGTCCTGATCCTAGGCCCTATGGCTGTAAATTAGAGAGAGTTGAATGTTGAAATTCTGAGAATCCCAGATGATCTGGATGTGCTGACATTTGGTTCCCTTTTCTCCTCAATAAGTGAAATAACAACAACAAGTATCTGTAAGAAAAGTGGCCTTCGGTATTTAGATTTACCCCCTCCATTCATTTTCTGCATGCTCTGCTTTTTAAAAATGCTATTCTTTTCTTCTTGGTTTTGCATTTCATTTTGTGTCAGTCAGTACGTTCTCTTTGTTGTTTTTTTGCCACTATCTCTAAAACATTAAAATAATAAGAAATTGTGTTTTACGTGTCAATAGAGCCACTATTGAGTCTTTGAATTGTGTTTGAAAGATCCACAGTGGTCTGGAAGACTCATTCTTCTGTCCTTGGTTTCATTGACCCATAGTTTGGTAATTTTATGATCTGAATCTCTCTCTTGAAAAGCATTAGACAATGTGGAAACAAAATGTCAGGGGAGATTTTTAAAAAGATAAATAGCATCCCCGTTCCCCACCAAGAGCCAGCCGGGGCCACGCTAATGCACACATCAGCAAGGAGCAGTGTCCCAACTCAGGACTGAGAGGCACAGCCTTCTCTCCCTGCATCTGTCCACACCACACCCCTCCCCTGTGCCTGTCCACACCTCACCTCTTCCCCTACGTCTGTCCATGCTGCACCCCTTCCCCTGTATTTACACACTCCTCTGCCTGTGACTTTCCAACACCACGCCCTTCCCCCATGTGTGTCCACACCACACCCCTCCCCATATGTCTATCCACACCACATCACGTCTAAGCTAGTCAGGGTCTATCTACCCCAGACACCCCACCTAAAGGATCTCAACTACTCCGTGTCTTTTGTAGAAAGCTGATGGTGTCTCCTCGTTCAGCCCTGAGGCAAGGCCTTTAGCTGGGTGTCTTTTCTTAGAATCTGGTTCACCTTCTATGCTAGTTCCTTGGAGACAGCAGCTCTCAGGAGACTCGTACAAAGGAAGAGCTGATAAAGTTGCCCTTGCTGGCTTGAGATCTCACAGACTCCGATTTCACAAGTCCTGCTTCCTGCCAAGAGGAACTGAAACTCTTCTTCTTACAATGATCCCAGACCCACAGAAGCAGACACTCATTTTAGCAATAACTTCTGTGTCCTACAGACAGGAAGAGGACAACATGGTGAGATCCTCCCAGTACAGGGGTGAGGGAGGCAGAGAGAAGAGCGCAGATGTTCTTGGGAGTCTGAGCACACCATCCAAACAGCACAGAGTTTGTGGTCCTGGAGTTAAAGGATAAATCCATCCAAACTTCCAGTTTGGATGTTTCCTTTATCCCGCCATCTGAGAGCAGACCAGTTTTGGAGGAGAGCCCTAATTTTTCCAGATCTCCAGAGACTCACAAAAGCTTTAATAGGGTGTGCACAGCAGCACTACAAGACCCCAGAGGGGCCCAAGACCTCCTGGGGCATCCCTGTCTGAAGGCAAATTCCTGGGGGCTGAGGGAAAGGTTCCTGCACCCTTGGGCAGTTTGGTCACTGCTCTTGGCTGTCCTTGAGGAGTCTTGTTTCAGATCAGTTACTCCCCAAAGTGAGAGTGTGTGAAGGATAAAGACCTGTTCCCACGGCTGCAAAGGTCCCAGAAGGGACAGTTTCTGGGTGGTGCTGTCTCTGCCCCATCTCTCAGCAGCTTCCAAATGTCTTGCCAAAACTCATAGTCCCTCTTCTCCAGAGGCTGCTATCTACAGAGATGGCCAGTCAGTCTCCTTGCCTCAAGATTAGACCAAGTCCAGCTGTACCTGCACTGCAGAGCTGCCTGCAGATGGAGCAGAAGGCAAGCAGCCGAGCTACATCCTTGGAGAGCTCTGTGCCTGCTCCCCGCTCCCTAGAACACCCTCATCAGGAACCTGGGAACCCTGTCTCTTATGTAGACCACGTGGGCATTTTTGAGAAAATGTCCAGTGGCTTTTTTCTGCATAGAGCAGGGTGATGGCACTGAGAACAGTCAAGAGTCAGGAGGTTCAGATGAGCTGAGCGCGCACATGAGGCTGCATTATCATCTCCCAGCGGTGACAATGAAGGTGTCTCCAGGTCTCACCTTCCTCATCTCCCCCTGGACTGTGGTCCTGGCTTTCTGCCACTCTACTCTCACCATTTTCCAAGGCATGGATCTCGCTTGTCCTTCCCACTGCTTGGATCTTGGAGGCAAATGGATGGAGACCCAGCCACAGGTTGGTGCCCCGCAATCTTGGTAAGAGCCCCAGAGAAGCAGGAGGTCAGAGTGAGAGCAGACAGAAGGAAGAACAGCTGTGAGTAAGGGAGCCACAGCAGGGCAACCCTCCACCCAGGAGAGGAAGGAGGTGTGAGGCAGGCTGGAGAGCCATTCCCAAGACACCCAGGTCTGATCATACAACGTCTGCCCCAGCCCAGCAGTTCAAGATGACCATTTTCCCCATCTGACCCAGGGAAGGACAGACCAGGGGGTTTCAGAAGCACTGCCTTGAAAATTCCAAAAAGCTGCACGCAAGCTTCACATTTTAAGGCTCCGTTGGTCAGAATAAATGAGGCTTCTGCCTGACATTAGCAGCTCCCAGGGGAGGCTCTGGAATCTGAGCATAATTGCTTAGAATTGACATTTTAAATCAGATCAGGAAAGATACACTCTTCAGTTCCCTGACAAGGTCAACACTGGAGACACCAGGTATCTGTGAGCTGCCGACAGCTAAAAGGGGCTGGTTTGCTTCTCGCAAGCTGCTGGCTTAGGGATGCATGGTGCTGTGACAGGAGAGGCCCTTAGGATTCCTTCTGCCTGTGCGTGTTGACATCCACAGGTATGCATGTCAAACTGTAGGTAGGGGAGGAGGGGAAGAGGTGTTGTCAAAATAGCCTGCAGTTGAGTTTAAAGTTGCCTTAGCCCTTGGGCTGAGGAGAGGGACCTCTGCTTTTCCACTGGGTTGAGAAGAAATCAAAGAAGAGCGTTCCAGGGAGTAGAAGGGGCTGCTGGTATCCCAAGTGCGGAGGACACATGGAACTTATCGTGTGGTCAGGAGACTCCCCTTGGACGTGTGCGGTCCAGAAACTTGACCACATAAATCATATCTGAGGTCAAGAGGCTGTTTTGCACTGTGACCTCACGGCTACTCTCTCAAATGACGACACGGGTACTTCATGCTGATGGATGAGCAAGCACAGGGAGGGCAACCCCAGTCTGGAGACACGAGACAGAACCTTTCCTTCCTGCGTCTCCAGGTCTCCTAGGTGGAGAGCAGCAGGGAACAGGACTCAGCCCTCGGCTGGAGGTCGAAGCCACTCAGTGAAGCTCAAGGCCTACCTGGAACTCCCCAAAGGCCCAAATTACTTGCTTAGAAAATGCATTCTAGCATCTAGAAACATATCACAAGTATGTAAATAATACTTGCTATTTTTTATACAATCAGCTTGCCTTCCTAAACTGATAAGCTAAAAAATATAAGACCCACATTCTCAGATAGACTCATTTCTATTATACTTCATTCACATGGAGCCTGTTGACAAAAATATTCTCCTTAAATACCAAAACAATTTGACCCTGATTTTTCTGACTGAGAGAAATATTGTTAAACCTAAAAGCGGAACTCTTGTACATAATTTTCTTGAGACCATGTGTCAAATAGTAATTTCAAGACCCTAGGATTGTGGCATAATTGTCCATTGACAGAGTACTGTTCCATACAATAGGCTTTGATTCAATCCTCACACAGCTCTAGGAATCAGGCACTTGTTCTTGTTTTACAGAAAAGGCAGCTGTTCTCAGCTGTAGATGACCCAGCCAAGTGTCCATTTCCCCCACATAGATCATATCTGGGGCCCCCACCAGCCTGATCCCCATCCTGGGAAGAAGGCTGTCTACTCAACCTTACAAATGTATCTCCTGAATAGACATAAAAAAATCAACAACAACAAAAAATCTTTCTGAGAAATTCAGTTTGAGGTCCTTATTGCGGGCCAAGAAAACGCTGTTCACAGAGACCTGGTCAAGTTAGCACAATATATCTGTCCCTGCCTTTCTCGTTTCATCGTCTGATTATGGCTTTCGGGCCCTCAAGCTGACTGTCTGTCTTCTCATTTTAGACCATGCAAAGCGTCGTTGCAGCATGGGGGAAAAAGAGTAGGGATTTAGGCTCATCTATAAAGTCCATGACACACATCCAGTTTCTGTTGAAACCATTAATCCTCACCCCCCGCCGCTGTGTTTCTGCGGCTCTCTTGTGGGGAACTAAAGGCAGTTGCTGAAGAAAACTTAGAAGGGGGAAGAAAAATAAGCCAGGAATCTCAGTCCCTGCTTAAATTTTAGTTTAAGAGGGCCATTTGGATCATATACAACATCTAACCTGTAAACATTCCCTTTAAACTTGGGCATACGGAAATTACCTCTCATGTATTGATCTGATGTATATCTCAACTATATATCATACTTATATGTGAGAATATATAATGTATATAAACTGTGGATATCTTTTATTATCCAAAAACTCAAAGAAGCTTTCTTACATAATAAAACAGAGTCTCTAAGATTTAACTAACTTCTCAAAGTCACGCAGCTAAGAAGTGTGAAGATAGGATTAGAATTCAAGTCAGTCTAAATCCTGAGCTTCCAGGGCCAAGATTCCTTGACTTGATTAGATTTCTGATTTATGTTTTGTGTTTAGGTGTTAAAGGATTGCTCTCTGATGAAGCTGGGGGAGAGGGAAGAGGAGAAGATAGTTTGCAATGGGAATTTTTTCATGTTTCTGGGAGAGAATGCCAGGTGGGCCTCTTCAGTGGCCTATACTTCTGCAGGCTGGCCGGAGTCTGTGGTGTCAGCCCTGATATGACCTGTCCTGCCCAAGGCCCCTGTGGAGGGAGTTTGGGGATGACTCTGACATGCACTGTCAAGTTGCATAAATGCTGAGAGTTGTTGGGGCACATTTGGAGTAACAGGTGTGCCTGTTGACCTGTTCCCTCCCTTGGCATATGCTCCACCCCGTGACACTCTGTCGAGATGATGTGCAGCACTCCAGGGTGCTCAGGAAGACACTCTTCTTCCCTGCCACTCTGATTCAACCCTTGTCTGGTATCCCTCCCTTGCTCTGACGCTCAGTCATTTTCCTTTCTGCACAGATCATTACCATGCGAGATTATGTCCCCAAGATCCTGGGCCCCAAAGCCTTCGGGCAATACGTGGGTTCCTATGAAGGCTACGACTCCACCGCCAACCCCACTGTGTCCAACGTGTTCTCCACAGCCGCCTTCCGCTTTGGCCACGCCACAGTCCACCCACTGGTACGACGGTTGGATGCCCACTTCCAGGAGCACCCAGACCTGCCCAGGCTGTGGCTGCACGAGGCCTTCTTCAGACCATGGAGACTCATCCAGGGAGGTGAGCATCCATGGCTCAGTCAGTAGAAATGTCTTGCTTCTTGGTACCTCATCACAGCCAGGCAGAGCCTCCGTTTGGTACATGTGCTGATGCTGTCCAAGCTATCTATGTCTATGGGAAAATAAACCAGTTCAAAGCTTTGTAAAAGCTGGTTTCCATCGACAATGCTTTCACACACGTTTCTGAAGTTCTTCAGAATTCACAGGATAAACCCCTCCAAGTGTGGAGTAACTCATTCCCCATTACTCAAGAAATTTTGAAGTAGAAACGTATAACTGTTCATCATAAACAATGCCATTTCTCTTCACCATTAAGCATGGTATTTGCACTATAGATATAATCAATACCATATGCCAATAATCAATACCAAATGTGAATAACTGGACTTCCTTTGAAAGCAAATTGTTTAGAAGAATGCATTTTCAGTTCCTGGTTAGTTTCTTGGAAGGGTTATCTTGACACTTTCTCCCATCCTTTCTTTCTATTCCTTTTGCCGGTGCTCTGTATGTACTTCTGGAAGCTTCTAACTTGTCACAAAGTCTGATTCCAAGAGTGTATGGATGTGTGGAGTGGGGAAGGTAAAGTTGCCACAATGTGCTCCACGAGCCCTGTTTAGACAAGCTGCTTCATGAAGTGCATGTCAGAGAGCGGCTGGCCCAGCCTGGCCCTTACCAGGCAACCCAATATCTGATGGTGATAACCAGGTCACCTCATGCAGGCCAAATACATAGTGACTTCTAAGTTGTGTTTTGGGGAGTATCCTCAGGTCAAACTGACCCCTTAAAGGACTTTATGCATGTGACTGTGGATTCAGACACCACTGGAGTAGACAGAGCCTAAGAACAACTGGATCTGTTTTCCACACAAGGCCTTTAGAGGTGTTGAGAGCAGGGCTCCTAACACCCTGATTGCCCCCTTAGCTAAGCCAAGGCATCCTTTCTGGGCATTAGAATGTAGCAAGTTTCCCACTACTGTCAGTCTTTTTCTTATAGTATTAGGTTGGATGTTCAAGGTCCATTATATGAGTGAGAACACGTGATACTCGGACCTTTGTTTTTGTGAGAGGTCACTCAGTATTATAGACTCTAGTTCCATCCAGGATTGCTGCAAAATTCATGATTTTGTATGAGCAAATATCTGTCTGGGGATGGGGAAGCACCTCTTATCAATAGGGTGCCTGAATGAAACGTATTTGTATACCTAACCATTAACTGTACCCCACATCATAATAAAAAATATTGATTATAAAAAAAAAAGGAATTTAGCAAGTGCTTCCTTTCCTTGTGTTTCTGCTGCTGAGAAATGAATCAAAAGCCTCAGTACCTGACGGGCCCCAACTCCAGGCCCCTTTGGTTCTGCAGATTCAGTGCTGGCTTGGTGGTTCATTTGCCCTAGGCAGTGTCCTAAGGCTTGTGGGAAACTGTGGAGTCATATATGGCAAATTCATGAACTTACACAAAGATGTTTGCAAAGAATAACTGCGCTTTCAGATGGAGTTGCTGTTCTGTGTCTCTGGAGCTTGGCAGAGAATCCTTCTTGCCTTTTGCATGTTGTGCTCCAGGTGGTGTGGACCCACTGGTGAGAGGTCTTCTTGCAACACCAGCCAAGCTGCAAGTGCAGGATCAGCTGATGAACGAAGAGCTGACGGAGAGGCTCTTTGTGTTGTCAAATTCCGGGACCTTGGACCTGGCATCCATCAACCTGCAAAGGGGCCGAGACCACGGTCTACCAGGTCTGTCTGCTGACTCCTTCCCATGCACACCTCACATACCTGTGTTGCTATTGGTCAGCCTGGCAACGCACTCCTTGAAGCAAAATGTATCTGCAAATCTATCGTCAACTTTTTTTTTAGCATTTTTTTTATTTTAAAATTGTGGGGTACAGTTAAGGGTTAGGTATACAATGTATTGTGCAGGTACCCTTGTTGATGAGGTGTGACCCCCCCAGAGATATTGACTACCGTTAATCCCACCTCCCTTCCCTTCCCTACCCCCCCATAGTTTCCTGCCACTGTCAATCTTTTTCACTTCTTTATTTTTTTGAGTTGGAGTCTCACTCTGCCGCCCAGACTGGAGTGCAGTGGCCGCACTTGGCCACCGCAGCCTCGACCTGCTGGGCTCCAGCGATCCTTCCGCCTCAGCCTTCTGAGTAGCCGGAATTACAGGCATGCGCTACCACGCCCGGCTGATTTTTTTTTTATTTATTGTAGAGATGAGGTCTCGCTGCCCAGGCGGGTCTCGAACCCACAGCCTCAGGCAATCCACTCACCTCAGCCTCCCAAAGGCGCGGGATTACAGGCTGAGCCACTGAGCCCGGCTTCTTTTTCGTTCATTCATGGGCTTTTGAAGTGCTCTAGTTCACTCAACCAATGAAGCCACTTCTAGTTTTCTTTTTTTTTTTTTTGAGTTGAGGTCTCACAGACTGGAGTGCAGTGTCACAAACATGGCTCACCTCAGCCTCGATCTCTGGGGCTCCACCTCAGCCTCCAGAGTAGCTGGGACTACAGGTATGTACCACCACACCCAGCTGTTTTTTATTTTTATTTTTTTTGTGGAGACGAGTTCTCACTATGTTGCCCAGGCTGGTCTCAACTCCTAGTCTCAGGTGATGGGCCTCCAAAGTGCTGGGATTACAGGCATGACTCACTGCTCTTAGCTCCTAGCTTTCTTTAGATAGTAGAAATTGCACAAAGAAGGCTCTAAGCCTCCCAGGAATGCCTGAGCTAGGCACTGATAAATAGCCTGTCCTAGAGAGTAGGAGCTCTGTGGGTGACAACGCAGGTCTGTGTCTAGTGTCCTGGGAAACTCCTGGGGGTGTTAGCATGCTCCTCCTTCTTGACCCACCACGGGGTCCTGCAGCCTGCAGAGATCGCTTTGGTGCCTCCAGGATGACGACCAACTGACTAGTTAGGCCTGGCTCCTGTCATGAGAGGCTGCCCCTCAAGCTGGCCACTCTCGGGCTCCCTCCTCCCAGCCTTGCCCTGCCTTTCCCAAGCCCCCACCTGTGGGCAGCTCTGTTCCTCCTGCAAGCCCTGGAAGCTTAGAAGGTGCCCTCCTAAAGTGTGTTGATGATGCCCATAGACCTGCTCTGCTTGAGACTTCCCAGACCCCAAGATAACTTTCTCCAAAGTGTTCTCTTGTTACTCCACTAAGTTCTTTTTTAACACCTCTTAGAGATATGTGACCACTCTACAGCTTTTCAACGAACTCCTATTGAACCCAGTCATCCACTCACAGATTCAGTCGAGAAATGCACCTTATCTTGTGTGTCTGTGGCAGGGAAGGCAGAGGGGAAACCACCCATCCTCGCAGGCTAGTCTTCTGGAGCTTCAGACCCTCAGCCCAGCAGCCTCCAACAAGGAGCAGGATCTGTGCTCATGGGTCCTCCATCTGTTCCTTCCTTGCCAGGGGTGTCTGGAAGAACTGGAATCAGCCGCTGCCCAGGCTGTAAATATCTAGCAACTGAATGTGAGTTGGAGGGATGCAGGAGTCCCCTCTGTGTGCAATGGAGAACTCACCCACTCTCCGCTACTTTCTAAACCCCAGGCACAGCTGCTTCCTTGCATACAAGGAGCACACGACTGCCTGTCCCATGCCTTTGCTCTTCTGTTTCCTCTGTTTGGAATGCCCTTGCTACTGACACAGGGCTGACCCAACAGCTGGATTTCCTCAAGTTCCTACTTAAATGTGACTTTTGGGCTGACCGTGCTTGTAGCAGGGCATCTCACCCCTTCCTGCCCCTTCTTACCTTACTTTTTCTTACAGCACATAGCACTTTTCACCTTAAAGTGGGATGTGGTGAAATGTGAACACCAGTGCTTTACATTGGCGTGTTGGTCTGCCCACTGCAGAACGTAAGCTCCATGAGGAAGGACCGTGTGGGTTTTGTTGCTGGCATCACCAGCCCTAGAACCGGGACCAGCACAGAACAGACACTTAACACTTACTGAATGAGTGAATCATGGCATGAGTAGACACTCCAAGGAAAGAAGGACCTAGAAGGAGAGAAAGAGGAATAAGACAAGTGCCCTTGGTTGTGAGCAGAAGACGGGTTTAAGCCTAAGATGTCCAGTTGTGGATGTGTCTCTTAATAACACTGCCAACACCCACTTCCTCTTCTGAACACCCAGGAAAATCGTCAGCCTCATGTTTAAGCATTAGAGACGGCACATACAAAAGTGCTTGGTGTGAGTACACCTGAAGACCAATAATACAAACAACATAAGCGACTGTGTACAGTCCTGAGGTTAGGAAGTTTCCCCAATTCCCAATTTTAGCAAGTGGAGGCATTTGGAAGCAACAAGAAGACCGTGTTTATTCCAATTAGTTAGATTGAAGACTAAATTAGGTAATAAGCTTGCCAAGAAACGTTCCCATAAAGATGGGAGGATGGTTTCCCCTAAACCTTGAAAGATTTTGTCTTACTTTGCAGTGAATATAAGATACCCAACCTTCCCTAAAAGACTTTTTTTCCATGCATTTTCATCCATGCCCTACACAGGCAGGGACATCTGAAATTCCTGTTGTTCCTGTCACTGCTCTGAGGTCATGTGAGCACAGACACCATCTACCTTTTATCTCCTGACCACATGCCCAGACATTGCACATCTTCCCACTGGAGTTGGGAAGGATGTAAATATGTTTCCCTTAGAGCAGTAAGAAGAGGAAATACCTTTACTTCTTTTTTTCTTTCCAAAATGAAAACATTAACCTCCCACGAGTACTAGGAAAGTTTTTATTTTTCGTTTTACACTTAAAATAGTTTAAAGAGGGTCTATATTGCTATAGAAACTTTCTCCCCTAATTGTTGAACTTTAATTTCTTATTATTTTGGATTTTGACTGCCTTAAAAATAAATGCAGTCTGTCAGCAAATATTTACTGAAATAGCTGCTCTGTTCCCCAAGCCCTGTGGCAAGCAATGGGAATGTGAATTTTCTATACAAATCAAATGACTTGCTTCTATGTTTCTTGTTACTGGATCATGAGAAATTTGGAGGACACATTTGGGATGGTCTGGTCCAAAATAGGTGATGTGAAAAAATAGAACCAGAGGTGCCACCATGAGGAGACAGAGGTGTCTCTGGAAAGGGATGGCCCCCCTTCCAGGAGGTTTTGATGAAATCGCAAGGGTGGCCCATCTGGAAACAAAACAAGAAGTGTTCTTTAGGAATCACAGAGCATAGGAGCCCACCTACAAACATCAGGAGCTGGGGTGCAGCTAGGCATCTTCTTGGGAGAACTCAGTGTAACCTTTACCAGATGCAGCAGCACCAGGGCGGTGGGACCAACCAAGGCCAGCAAGTGTAGTGACCCAAGTCAGGTGCACAGTTGTTCCCCATGGACTTGAATCAGGGAGCCGCCATCTTAGAAGATGGTGGTTTCAACTCTCACTGATGACTCTGTCCTTCGTCTACCCTTTCCTCTAACCTACCTTTTTCCAAGTTGTTCCCTGTGGTTGGAAGTTTCTCGCCTCCTGGGGCTCAGCAAGTCTCTTATCACTTAAACTCCCCTTCCCAGACTGATTGGAAGATACATGATGATTTATTCTAGTTCTGTCCAGTCTAAATGTGAGGCCCCAATTTCTTGCTCCATGAATGCCTTGGTGCCCTGAGAACTGGCCGGGTCCTCACACACAGCACTCTCACTGAGTGCCTGCGATGTCTGGGCACTGGGAGCAAAACCAGACATAATCTGAGCACTGTGATGGCAGGCGGTGGACAAGCAAGGCGAAAGCAACAGAGAACCTTGCCGTTGCTTTTATTAGCTCTAGCGAGGAACATTCCCAAGAAGGGACACAATTCAGAAAGGCCAGGTCACTAGCTTTGGGGACTTGGGAATGGAGAGGGCTTCTGGAGGAGGTGGAAGCTGAACTAAGAAGAATGAGTGAAGATAGAGGTCAGGTGGGGTGCGCAGAGAGAGGCACAGGAGGAAGAGTGTGTTAGGCAAAGGTGCTCCTGCAGAGTCAGTGGAGCTGGACGAAGGATTCGGGAGGAAGAGGCCCAGGGCACAAGGCTGGTGAACAGCAGGAGAGGCTGGGGGCTCACTGGGGACAGAGCAAGGAAGTACCTTCGATACAAGATCATGGATCAGACGAATGAAGATAGTCATGTACATCCCTCCCCGTGTGTGTGTGTATGTGAGAGAGAGAGAGAGAGAGAGAGAACATGAGAGAATGAGAATATGAGAGAGAGGAGAGAGAGAACATGGAGGAGAGAGGACATGGGGAGGAGGGGAGAGAGAGAGAGAGAGAACATGAGAGAATGAGAATATGTGAGAGAGGAGAGAGAGAACATGGAGGAGAGAGGACATGGGGAGGAGGGGAGAGAGAGAGAGAGAGAACATGAGAGAATGAGAATATGAGAGAGAGGAGAGAGAGAACATGGAGGAGAGAGGACATGGGGAGGAGGGGAGAGAGAGAGAGAGAGAACATGAGAGAATGAGAATATGAGAGAGAGGAGAGAGAGAACATGGAGGAGAGAGGACATGGGGAGGAGGGGAGAGAGAGAGAGAGAGAACATGAGAGAATGAGAATATGAGAGAGAGGAGAGAGAGAACATGGAGGAGAGAGGACATGGGGAGGAGGGGAGAGAGAGAGAGAGAGAACATGAGAGAATGAGAATATGAGAGAGAGGAGAGAGAGAACATGGAGGAGAGAGGACATGGGGAGGAGGGGAGAGAGAGAGAGAGAGAACATGAGAGAATGAGAATATGAGAGAGAGGAGAGAGAGAACATGGAGGAGAGAGGACATGGGGAGGAGGGGAGAGAGAGAGAGAGAACATGAGAGAATGAGAATATGAGAGAGAGGAGAGAGAGAACATGGAGGAGAGAGGACATGGGGAGGAGGGGAGAGAGAGAGAGAGAGAACATGAGAGAATGAGAATATGAGAGAGAGGAGAGAGAGAACATGGAGGAGAGAGGACATGGGGAGGAGGGGAGAGAGAGAGAGAGAGAACATGAGAGAATGAGAATATGAGAGAGAGGAGAGAGAGAACATGGAGGAGAGAGAACATGGGGAGGAGGGGGGAGAGAGAGAGAGAGAGAACATGAAAGAGAAGAGAGAGAGAGACAGTATGCTCATGATGGCATTCTCTGTGTGCTCCTGATGTCATTATAGAGTGTCAACTTTAAAGAGGGTGAGAGAACCTGTCTCAGCTGCTTGTAGAGATGAGAACTGAGTGTGGGGCTGGGTGACAGCATGAATCCCCTCGGATGTCTCGGACTCGGCGTTCTGGTCTCTGGTCTCCTCTATGAGCAAGCTCCTCATAGGAGCCCTGGAGTCTGTGCTGGCACATTCTGGCACGTGAGCGCCACAGGCATGGACGGGGTGATGGAGGGCTTTCTCTGTAGCTGGAGATTATGGACAGTACTGGTCATCATGGCGCCCACTGTCTCCAGGGGCTGGCGCGTGGATGCGGGGGTGGGGGACTCTCTGAAAGGACCCCAGCCCCTCTTCCTGGTGCAGGTTATAATGAGTGGAGAGAGTTCTGCGGCTTGCCTCGACTGGAGACACCAGCCGACCTGAGCACGGCTGTCGCCGACAGGACTGTGGTGGACAGGATAGTGGACTTGTACAAGCACCCCGACAACATCGACGTCTGGCTGGGCGGCCTCGCTGAGGACTTCCTCCCTGGGGCCCGAACGGGTCCCCTGTTTGCCTGTATCATTGGGAAACAGATGAAGGCCCTGAGGGACGGTGACCGGTAAGTGCCTGCACGAACCTCTGACACTGGTGATGGTGATCTATAGCTTCATTTGAAGCCATCCAGACCTAGGTTCAAGTTCTGGCAGTATGAACTATTGTTGATTTCCCGTATGTCAAAGCATGCAAGTAAGCAAGACTCCGACGAAAATAGTGCATTTCTTGAGGACCCTGCAGCCACCTCTCCTGGCAGCATCTTTGATGCCACAAAGGTAGGCACTGACTCAGGCACAGTCCTGTGCCCGTGGGTGGTCTATCCCTCCCAGCTCTCCACCCACCTGCCTACACAAGGCTCTGCTTGCAGGTAGCAGAAAGCTAAGGCCCCTCTTACTTGCCTTTACTTGCTTTCTGCTCCCTCCTCCATTTCAGCCTAGAATGTGAACGTTGTACAGCCAGAGAGAGTCAGAAAGCAAGCTTCTGGTTCCCACATCTAACCCTCCCATCTCCATGTGCCTCACAAAGCCAATACACACAATGCACTAGAATTTGGGAACAGCACAAAAACAATGGGAAACGTTTCCTTTTTCTTCTTTAATAATCCTTACAAAGCCGGACTCGGTGGCTCAGCCTGTAATCCCAGCGCTTTGGGAGGCTAAGGTGAGAGGATTGCCTGAGCCCGTGGGTTCAAAACCCACCTGGGCAACTTGGCGAGACCTCATCTCTACAATCAATCAAAAAATTAGCTGGGTGTGGTGGTGCGCGCCTGTAATTACGGCTACTCGGAAGGCTGAGGCGGAAGGATCGCCGGAGCCCGGCAGGTCGAGGCTGTGGTGGCTGGGAGCGGCCACTGCACTCCAGTCTGGGCAACAGAGTGAGACTCCAACTCAAAATAATCATAATAATAATAATCCTTGCATGTACAGTTTCTCTCCCCTCCCCCACCCTTTCTCTCTCTCCTTCTCTCCTTCTCCCTTTCCCTCTCTCTCTCTCTCTCTCTCTCTGGTAGTCATTGTGCCTGTCAGATTTTTTTTTTTTAGGATATCCATGTTCTTTTGAGAGAATATATCTTCCACACACCAGGGCTCCGTTTTTCCCCCCTCAATAACTCTTTTACCATTAATTTCTGCAATGCAGTATTTCAAGGAGTTAAGAATACCTGGAGAGAAATAGCTAAGAGAATTTTCTACTTCAGAACTGTACCATTAACAAAGTTGTGTTGTTTGAGATATTCTGGTGCCTGGAAGCCACACCCTCACTGGGTGTATTTCTTCAACTTGTCCTTTATGTGTCTGTTGTATGCATATTCTATGTATTATACAACCTCTAGTTGAAGTTCAGTTTGAAACAAGCCCACAGAAGCAGCTGGCAGATTCTTGGAGTGATACTGTGCATTTCTCATCCTGAGTACTTAGGACTGAGTATCTACTCCATACAAAAATCTGATGGAGCCCCTTTTCACATTCTGAGCGCAATTCATCCCAGGTAGGAAGGAAGAAGAGCTCTATATGATAATGGGAGACACATGCTTTATGGTGTTCAGACTAGGAGCTGCTGGGGCTTTGTCAATGGTTTTAACATTTTGGAAAGAAAGTAAAACTTTATTTCCTAATATCACAATTTTCTTGATTGATCATGGCCTGGAGGAAGAGAAGCTGTTCATGGTACTTGGACTTCAGCTTAGATGGCAGCAGTTTCTAAAATAGCTGAATGTCCTGTCATTCTCTTTGTTTTAACACAAAACTCCACCCCAGGTAAAAATCAATGCAGCAAAATATATTGTCATCACCGATGAAAGAATGGCTCTAGGAGCCTCTTCCATCTAACACTCCATCCTCCAGACAGGCAGCAAGGTCCACACAGGGTGTCCTGGGTGCTCACTGGTCTCCAATGTCAACTCCTGGATGGACCGATGTCCCAGGGAAAGGTGAAGCTGAACAAAACAGTGGGCAGCTGGTATTCAATGGCTCCACAGGGTCACCGGGGCTCTTGCTCTAACACTGCTCTTTCCTGTGGAGGTTCTGGTGGGAAAACAGACCCGTCTTCACGGATGCGCAGAGGCATGAGCTGAAAAGGCACTCTCTATCTCGGGTCATCTGTGACAACACGGGCCTCACCCAGGTGCCCGTCGACGCTTTCCAAGTAGGAAGATTCCCCCAAGATTTTGAGTCCTGTGAAGGCATCCCTGGCATGGACCTGGAAGCGTGGAGGGAGACCTTTGTTCAAGGTGACGTTAAATCTCTGCTCACTAATAATACTGAGTGGTCTCTCACAGAAACAAAGAACCGAGTATCACATGTTCTCACTCATAAGTGGACCTTGAACAACTACCGTATTACTGTAAGAAAGGGATTGAAAGTAGTGGGAAACTGTGGGGAGAGGGTGGGGGGATAGCTGGGATTGACGGTGGTCAATATCTACCTGGGGAAGGGGGGGCACTCCTCATTAATAAGGGTACTTGCACAATGAACGTTTGTATACCTAACCCTGAATTGTACCCCACAATTTCAAAGTAAAAATTAAAAGAGGAAAAAAATAAATCTCTGCTCACATTATGTTACAGAATAGAGATGCAATCAAAGACAGCATAGCTTTCAAATAAGCTGAACTGACATTGACACCATCAACGCCCTGCCTTGCTTCTTCAGGGGAGCTCACAGGCTTAGTTGGTCCTCCTTAAGTGAGGAAGGGTTTGGAGGTCTGGAAAGTGAATCAGCCTGCTCCCTGTTCCCCAGAAAAGACTGTGTGTATTATTGAGTAGTGACCACAGTACAGCTCCCCAGTTTGGTGTTAACCGTCTCCCAGACCCTCATTTTCTGCTGCAGGGTCTGTGCTGTTCTCAGCTGGATGCCCAGTGACCCCCTTGCTCCCTTCCCCCAACCAGATTCCGGGAGCACCCACCCAGCTGTGAACACCCCACACAAATATAGAACTGCCCCAAGCCCCTCATGCACAATTGCCCTGGTTGAGAGGTAGCAGATAGGATCACACATTTTAAGGAGTAAATCGTGGACAGCATTTGGCTACAAGTCCTCTGGGAAGACCTGACTTACCGGCACCTGAGGGTATTTGGGATTTAACTGAGCAAAGCAGATGTTCTGACTTTAGTTTTCGCTCTACACATAATTATGGCACATATCAAATTGCTGCATTTCAATCAGCATGAAAGACTTATTCTGTTATTATGCATGACACCAACTCTGTGATGTGAGACCCAGCTCCACGCAAGAGCTTAAGAAATAGTAATTCATGCCTCCTCAGTGGGAGGTATTTCCTCAGGGACTTGAGATCCACTTACAAGTGGATTCACACACACACACTGGTGCACACACACAGACACATAAGACACACATAAAACACACACCACACACTCACTTTCACAGTACTTACATTCCAGAAAGAGAAGACAGACAATAAGCAAATCCCCTCTTTGAAGACCCTATCCCCAGGTATAGTCCCATTCTGAAGTACTGAAGGCTGGAACCCAAATGTGAATTTTGGGGAACACAAGTCAGCCTATGACAGGAATATTGGGTTATAGTTTTGTTTTGCTTTTTTTCTTATACTTTGTCTGCTTTTTAACCTTTCAACATTGCATAGATGACAAGTGTGGCTTTCCAGAGAAAGTGGAGAATGGGGACTTTGTGCACTGTGAAGAATCTGGAAGACGTGTGCTGGTATATTTCTGCCGTCATGGATATGAACTTCAAGGTCAAGAACAAATCACTTGCACCCAGGAAGGATGGGATTTCCAACCCCCCACTTGCAAAGGTCAGTCATTTAACAGGGCATCTGTTTTTTAAATTACAATTACAAAAATATCTGCTTTTTTCAAATATAAACTAAGAATTAAATGTCATTGAATATCTATTCCTTTGGCAAAGAGTGCTTCTGAGCATCATTGTCTTCCCAGAGCTGTCTGGGAATACAAACAGGATTCTCCTTGCAGTTGACCATGTTTCCAAGCATGTCAAGGTGGTAAGTTTTGTGCTGTGTATCCTTTAGTACAAAAACAAACATGTCAGTTTCAGTTTTAGAAACCCAGCATGTTTTGTCCTTGAAGGGCTGTGATGGCCAGCTACTTCCAGACTCTTGACAGTAAAAGGAAAGACAGACTTTGTGAGCACCAGAGACCCACCTCGCTTTCACCCTGTGGAAATAGTCAGATATGGGTGTGACTGCCCACCTAGTCAGGGGTCTCAGGTGCCCGCTGGGTGTTTTCTTTCAGCTGAGAGAGAAGGAAGGAGGAAGGCAAGAAATGAAGCTGACCGGGAATGGTGTTCAGGAAATAACTCTGAGAATAGCTAAGGGCACACACACCTGTGCAAAATTGAAGTTCCCGCTTCACCCACGACTCCCGGCTTTCATTGTTAAGAGATCATGGCGTGTGATTCCGGGTTGAACACACTGTGTGTTCTGTGTTAACACATCTTTCTGTGGCACACAGTTCTCTTGTACACCTACATCTTTTATTGCTTAAATCCCTGGACCTTTTTTTTTTAATTGGAGTCTCATTCCGTAGCCTAGGCTGGAGTGCAGTGGCATACTCACGGCCACTCCAGCGTCAACTTGCTGGGCTCCGGAAATCCTTCCACCTCAGCCATCCAAGTAGCCAGAACTACAGGTGCGCACCATTACACTCGGCTAATTTTTGATTTATTGTAGAGACAAGGTCTCGCCAAATTGCCTGGGCTGATCTTGAACCCATGGACTCAGGCAATCCACTCCCTCAGCCTGCCAAAGTGCTGGGATGACAGGCTGAGCCACCGAGTCCAGGTTATATCCTTGTTTCTAAGACTTCTTGGATCTGGTGGGGTATCTGTACTTCCAGTGGTAAGTGTTGTAGCTTATGTTACCAAAAATAAAGTAGCAGTCACAGTCGCAGCCAGACTTTTTTTTTTAATATATATTTTATTTCAAAGATGTGGGGTACAATTCAGGATTAGGTATCCAAGTGGACATCATACAGGTTGGGCATTTTGTATATTCATATTGACTATTTGTTTTAGGCATTTATGACCCCAAAGCTATATTCACAGGGCTCTGTGAGGTGCAAACAAAGGAGGAGCAAAACGTTGGAAGCAGATCAGCAAAGGGAAATTCCCTAACCCTCTAGTCGCTTGGGCTGCCCCACCTTTCATGTTGTGACATGCCTGGGCTTCAGTACATGACTCTGCTCATCCCATAAGTCTGGCCTGTCCCTAGTCCTGGGGTTCCCAACCCCTGGGCAGCAGACCAGTACTAATCCTTGGCTTATTTGGAATCTGGCCACACAGCCAGAAGTGACAGGTGGGCTAGCAGAGCTCCACTTCCTGTCAAATCAACGGGGGTATTAGGTTCTCATAGGAGAGCGAACCCTACTGTGAACTGCACACGCAAGGGATCTAGCTTATACCGTCCTTATGAGAGTCTGATGCCTGATGTTTCCCTCCCTCAGCCCCGACCCTGTCTGTGGAAAATTTGTCTTCCACAAAATTGGTCCCTGATGCCAAGAAGGTTGGGGACCGCTGCCCTAGACAATCTTATGGTATCCCATCAAAAGCATTCTCCTATTCTATTCTTGAAGTCCTTTCACCCCTTCCCTCATACCCCAATATATTTTCTTGATTTTTCACAGCAACACTCAACAGATCCCTAGAGTTCTAACAATTATTTCTGAACCAGTCTGGGTGCTCCGTGAGGCACAAGAGTGTTCCCTGGCAGAGCCCAACACAGCGGTGAACGCTCAGGGTGGGCACCGTGGCTGGCAGAAGCAGCGTCCTGGGAGCTTGTTAGACTTGTGGCATCTTAGGCCCACCCCACAACCCCTGAGACAGAAGTCATACTCTTCATGAGACCTTGTTGGACTGTGTTTATTAAAAGTTGAGAGGCCTGGTGGATAATCCGCACGAACCATTTACCTCTGTCTCTAGTTCACTGACTGGGGCCCAAGTCTTGCCTGGACATTTCAGTAGACAGTTAGTCTGTCTCCCCAAAGTTGCTTAGCCTCTGTGTGCCTCTGTGTTTTCTTTTTCTTTTACTTTTTTTTTGAGTTAGAGTCTCACTCCGTTGCCCAGGCTGGAGTGCAGTGGCACACTCACGGCCACCCCAGTGTTGACCCAATGGGCTCAGTCAATCCTTCCGCCTCAGCCTTCCAAGTAGCTGGAACTACAGGTGAGCGCTACCATGCCTGACTAATTTTTGGTATATTTTAGAAACAAAGGCTCACCAAGTTGCCCAGGCAGATCTCAAACCCCTGGGCTCAGGCAATTCTTTCACCTTGGCCTCCCAAAGTGCTGGAATTACAGGCTTGAACTACCGCAACTGACTGCCTCTGTGTTTTCAAATGTGAAGTGAGGATGGAGCTACAGTTTACTTCGTGGAATGTCCATTCAAATTAGTTAATAAATTCATAGAACAAAAGGCAAGGCACAGCCCTGTTGTTGTTAACATAGTTCAAGTCAAAAAGTGATTGGGGCAGAGCTCAATCAATTGAGAGGTTTTATTTTGTCTAGCTTAAGGACGAGCCTGGGAAAAAGAAACACAAATTGCTATGGGACCTGTGACCTCTGTTTTCATAGAGGGTCTTGAGGGATTCAGGATTTACATGGCAAGAGCAAGCAGGGGAGGAAGGGGGTGGGGGGGGAGGCAGGAGGGAGGGTGTGCAAGAAATGAATGGTTACATTCTCTCCAGTCTTTGATTAGGGCTCAGTGAATTTACATTTTACATGTGAAAAGAGGGGGTAGAAGGAAAGTGATTATGTATTTCTCTTATGCTCAGTAAATCTACATTTTACATAAGTTAGAGCAAGCAAGTAAAATCACAGCTACCTGGGAGCAAAAGGAAGACTTTTTAGGTTTTATTTTTGTTTTTCTGTGTACCTCGGTTCCCAGGCTTGACTTTCCCTTTGGCAAGTGACTTTGAGGTCCTGAGGTTCGATATGTTTTATTTCACAGTAGCAGGTGCTCAAAAGCTGTGCTCTGAAATGTGGCACATCGGTACTGAGAGTTATTCTGCTGAGTACATGAGCAGAACAGCTGTTGATCTGGAGTCCTGTTCACGACATGTCATCAAGTAGAAACACAAGCTCCAGAGTGCCATGCACACTGAGCGCCCAATCAGATGTCTCCACAAGCAGTGAAACCTCTTTCTGCCTCCTCCCTGATAAATGCCTTCTGAACACAAAGACAGCTGTGGGCACTCCGCAGGTGCTGTTCCACGTGAGTCTCCCTGCGGACTGAGACATGGAGAGGAACATGGAGAGCCAATTAGGATCTTTTCATTCATACAAGTCTTTGTTTTATTGTCTTATCACATCTATAATCAATATCTTAAAAATAAACAAAGTATAAAAAACTCCTTAAGAACAAAGTCGTAGTTCAAATGTCCTCATTTGTTACATTTGTCTATTACGCAAATATTTTCATGATATTTATTCCCTACACTAGAAGTTTCAAAAATCAAGAATTATAAGAAAAAAACAAACCCCTAAGTGTAGCAGAAAGGGAGTTCTTGAGTTTCATGGTATGGACACAGTGCCCAAGCTGACTGCACAAAATCTGCTCCTCAACATCTCTATGGTTGCAGAAAGGAAAGCCCTGGGTCTAACTGAATGTTTAACACAAAAAACCAGGTAAGACCCACTGCCCTCTTCTCTAGTCAAATCCCCCTCCTCTACTAAGATCCAGCCACATAAAAACTTGATAGAAAAAAGCAAAACAAAGCAAGCAAATGAACCGTCTTAAGTCCCAGTTGAGCGCTTTGAAGCTGTGAATTCCAGATAGATAAACAGCTATGAGCCTGTAGCTTTTTACATTAGTTATTGTCAAGAGGTTATGCAATAAGTGAATACAAATAAGTGTTTTGTGTCTATGACAGCAAATAAGATTTGCAGTTAGCGCAAATTTGCTCAGAGAAATGGGAACATCTGTGCCGATGTTTGTGTGCTCACAGTGTGTAGAGATGTGGGAATGCAGTCTGTTATTAAAGCAAAGTAAAAGGGCCAGATAGTGCAGCCTGGGCCTCCACGCAGACTGGGCCTCCACTCAGCCTGGGCTTCTATGCAGCCTGGGCCTCCACACAGTCCAGGCCTCTGCACAGCCAGGGCCCCTGTGCAGCCTGGCCCTCCACGCAGCCTGGGTCTCTGTGCAGAAGGATTCCAGAATCCAGGAAACTGCAGGCCTGAAGGCTATTTTTCCTCTCCATTGTAAGGAACATTGTTATCAGCCTGTTCAATGATAAATGTCTAGTAGACTTGCCATACACATGCAGGACACCTGCACTGGGTCACCCTGCGTGTTGCGCATGTTTGAGTGTTCTCATTTGTCCCGTGGTGCCCAGTCCCTTCCACTTGTGTAGGAGTCCAGGTTTTCCACTCAGTTTGAGATCTTGAGTGAGTCACTCAATCCCTCTGAGTCCCCTCCGTCCATCTTGCCATGTCGTCAGCACCAGGGACCCAGGATTGGAGGGAGGGTTTCACCCCGTTTCTGGCTGTCAGTGAAGGTTGCAACCAAAGCCATTTTTATTCTTGCCTGGAAGAGGGTAGACTTGCCACACATGCGTTAGTGTCAGTCCCTGAGAAGAAGACCTAGAAGGCACTAGTCCCCAACTCGGGCTTCTGATTAGAATAAACTGTTAATTCAATAAGTGTTGTGGGTGGAATTGTGTCCCCCAAAAAGATACGCTCATGCCCCTAGAGACCTGACTTGCAGGGTCTTTTCAGATGCCAGCAAGTCAAAATGAACTTCTCAGGGGGTGCCCTGATAGCCTGATAAGAGGAGGAGACCAGACT